CGCTATCTATGATAGGCTCGGAACTCGTCGTTCCGAGGTTGCCAGATCGCTTCGCCCTACTCTTCTTTCCTCTGTCCTATTTCTCTCTCTATTCTATTTGCTCCCCTAGCTATTGGAGACCGCAACAAGAACAGCGATTACAGCAGAGACACAGTTAAAAATTTTCCCTGTTCTCAAGTTTGTTTCATGTAAGTTATAACCCTCAAACAGTTGGATACGATATCATGATTAAATAGTTCTCCTAGAATTGAATCGTTTGGTTTAAAATCTAAACTCATCTCAAATTTTTATTCAGTTTTAAAAATGGACCCGCGGTTCAAACACCCATTCTCTGCGATACCTACTCGGAGGGCCTTCGGGCAGCGGGAAGTCGTATTTTGTGGTTAATTTTTTGAAGAATTTGAAAGAATTGTGTGATACGAACTTCAAAGAAATATTTTGGCACTACTCAATTTGGCAGCCCGATCTTAACCTTAAAGGAGTCACTTTCATTCAAGGGTTACCTGATAGCAACATCGACCCGAGTTATCCGCGCTTGTTCATCATCGATGACTTGATGCGTGAATCAAGCAACAGTTCAGTGATTATTGATTTATTCACGAAAGGTTGTCATCATAAAAACATAAGCGTTTTCTTTATAACACAAAACATATTTTATAAGGGGAAAAATCAGAGGGATTTAAGTTTGAATGCTCATTATTTGATTTTGTTCAAAAACCCCAGAGATAAAGCCCAAATCAGGCATCTGGCGCAACAGATGTGTCCTCAAAATTTTAAATTTTTAACCAAAATATTCTCTGATGCGACTTCGAAAGCGCACGGTTATTTCCTCATAGATTTAAAACAATCCACCCCTGAAAATTTTAGATTCAGAACGAACATATTTCCGAGGGTGGGCGGAGGCATGATTGTGTACATTCCTCGGAAATAATAAAATATAAATAGCACAATTTCATTGCAGTTCCGTATCATTTTAAAATGGTGCGTGCAGTCGTAAACAACAAGGAGCTCCTCGAGGCTTTGTTGAAGTTAAAACCGCAGCATAGATTGGTCATTCTAAAATCTGCTGACAAGAACCTCGTGGGGTGCTTGTGCGAATGCGCTTTTAATCTGTTAAAGGGAAATGTTCCGGTAGATTCGAGCCAGAAGCAGAAACTCAGTCGTTACAAGCAGTTACTGCGCAAATTGACCGCTAGAAGAGGTGGCTGGAAAAGTAAAAAAAAAACTCTTGGTTCAGAAAGGTGGAAATCTTATTCCACTTTTATTAGGACCGATAGTTAGTGCAGTTTTAAGTTCAGTGTTGAATTAATTTAAAACTACTTCGTGGTTTAAAATAAAACGGATTGGTGAATATGGAATACGCTAAAAAAATGATTTTGGTACCCTCTGAAACAGTTGAAAGACTGCAACAAACGCCCGTTTCGAGCGATCCTCTGCACGAGTTGCACAGAGAGCTGTCTCGCATTCTTGCCGCGCATGACTTAAACGATTCGGATAAGTGGGCTAAGTATCAGCAGGTGTTGGAGCGTAGTTTGAGGTATGCTGAGCAAAGACAGAAACCGTTGAAGCTGATGATTGATGCCCCCGAGGATCAATCATCATTGGAAAGTTTGCAGCCCGACGATAAACCTCAGACTCTAGCACCTGAGCGAGAGGATCGAGGGGAATCATCGTCCGATGATATTTTGAATACGCTTCCAAAAACTTTCAGGAATAAAGGTAGTGTTTTATTAAAAAGATTACAGAAAAATGACACGATTAAGTGGGGGAGAGATGGAAAAGTTAAAATTGAGGGTAAGGCGATCGAGGGGTCTAATATTGCAGATTTAGTGAACGATGCAATGCGCAATCGAAAAAATTCACGTACCTATACCTACGGGTCATCGTGAATTCTACTCCGTTTTAGCTAAAATGAATGTTCCACAAGAATTATTAGGTAATCCAGAGCGTTAGGAGCTCATTCATGATTTTGCTTCACAGGAGTTGAGTCCTGATTCTCCTGCGTACGCTACACTTTGGCCGCCTACGCCCGTTAAGCGATCAAGGAGTGCTGAGACTCCTAAAGTGGGTGCAGTTCGTAAGAAACTGAGTTGGGAAAAATTTTTAGTGTGATTTGAGTTGACATGGAGAAAGTGTATTATGATCCCCGTAACCCCGGCTCTTTTTCAAGCATCGCAAATCTCGCACGAGCCGCGTCTGTGCGTCGCGACCAAGCCAGGACTTGGTTATTGGGACAAGATACCTACACTCTACACAGGCAAGCCCGCAAAAGATTTCTTAGGAACAGATTCTACGTAGACAATATCGACGAACTTTGGCAAGCTGATCTCTGCGACATGAGATCTCTGAGTGAGTTTAACGATGGTTACAAATATTTACTAACGTGTATTGACGTTTTCAACCGATTTGCCTGGATAGTTCCGCTTAAAACGAAGCAGAATACCTGAATACAAGTGTGATAGAGGGTTTCGAGCGTATTTTAGGAAGCGGCAGAAAATGCATTTTCGTACAATTCGATAAAGGCATGGAATTTCTTGGGGGCGCGACTCTGAAATTTTTTAAAAGGCACGGCATCAAATATTATACAACCAGGAATCCCGACACTAAAGCAGCCATAGTTGAGAGATTCCACAGGACAATCAAGCCACGAATGTGGCGCTATCTAACCTATAAAAATACCTATCGATATATCGATGTTCTCGATCTTCTGGTCGAAGCGTATAACAATAGTTACCATACTACGATTAAGATGCGGCCGGTCGATGTTAACAAGGAAAACGTGCTAGAAGTTTGGCGGAAAGTATACTCTCGCCGGGAACCTAAAATTATGCCCAGGTTGAAAAAAAATACAAAAGTGAGAATAGCCCGAGAGAGATCTATGTTTGAAAAGGGCTATGAGACTTATTTTAGTGAGGAAATCTATAAAATTAGTAAAGTCATCAAAATGGCTGTCCCAGTGTACGAGTTAAGAGACGACAAAGGGGAAATTATTGATAGATTGTTTTATGAGCACGAGGTCCAGCCCGTGTCTGTTAAAAAAGATAAATTTTATAAAATCGATAAAATACTGCGTCGTCGAGTACGGAAGGGCATTCGAGAGGCTCTCGTCAGTTGGAAAGGATACCCTGACAAGTTTAATTCGTGGATCCCCGTGTCAGCGTTAATCGATACTTAAAATGAGCGATCATTTTTATCTCACTTTGCCATTCAACAGTTCCATGCACGTCTTTCCAGATAATAAGATTTCCCATTTTAAAACACAATTGCCGAAACGCATTTCGCTTCAAGGTGAGTGGGAACTTGGCCTCGCTGAAATTCATTATCCTTTCGATTTCGTAACGATTCCATCGTCTCAGTTTTGGGTAGGGCTCGAATACAATGAACCATTGCTTACGACCGAAAATGTGAAGAGTGAAAATACTAAAAGAGAGGAAACGAGTAAGGAGGATCAGGGTTCGGGAAACATGTCTTGGAAAAAAATTCATTTTAAGGGCGATAGTTTTGCAACTATCGAAAGTCTGATAGCAGCGATGGAAAAAACCGAAGATTTTCGTAGATTCGCGACTATTACATGTGAAAAATCATGTGTTCGTATCAAACTAAAAAGCGGCGTCTCTAGGATGGTTTTAACTCCATCTTTGCAGCGCATTCTTGGTTTGCATGAAATGGATGTAAGAACCTCTGTTGAAAGCTATAATTTAAGCAATATCNTTGTTCACGCCGTCACCGCCGTGAAAACTGGCAGCTCTCATCACGAGATGTCGCACCTCGGTCCGCGTCCCGCGGCCGGTGCTTTCCCCCGCTTCCCCGCGCCCGCAGCATCCTCCATCTCGCAGCGCGCGGCTCCCCGCACCGAAAGCCGCGTCGCCTGCGGCTATCTTACGCATCTCCACCGCCCGCGCTGGTGACCCCACCGTGCGTCACCTCCGCACCCAAGGCTGCGTCACGCTCCTCCGCCATGCTCGGCGCTTGCCTCCAGCACCCGCTATCCGCGCCGCTGGCCCTACTTCCGTCACCCGCGCCGCGGTTGCGTCACAGCATCATGGGAGCAGCGCGCGCTGCCTCCTCTCCTGCCCTTGCGACCATGCGTATGCCGTTCGCACTGCCCACGTTACGCAACGGCACGTGTCGCGGCACGTGATCCATCCATCTCGCTCCTACGCATTGAGGCAAGCGGTCGTCTCCTCTCACTCTGGCGGGTATAAATACGGTCCGTGACCTGCTCCATTCGTCACTTCCATCGCCACTTCCATGAGAGACACTCTCGCGGCACATCTTGCTTGGACCAGCTCCCGAGAGTTCCTCTCCAGGCCACTTCCATGAGAGACACTCTCGCGGTACATCTTGCTTGGACCAGCTCCCGAGAGTTCCTCTCCAGGCCACTTCCATGAGAGACACTCTCGCGGTACATCTTGCTTTGACCAGCTCTCGAGAGTTCCTCTCTAGGTCACGCCGCACCGGCCACCTGCAACGCTCCGCTACAGATGCCGACCCTAGGAGTTCCTCCTTAAGGACGTCTCCCCCCCACCCTTGGAGTCACCTCCTTAAGGCTGGTATTCATTCCTCCCACCAAACCAACCCCAAAGGAGTTTCTCCCAGGGCTTTATTTCCCACCTCCAAGAGGTACCCTCTGGAAAGCCCTGGCGAGTTCCTCTCAGGGGTCCCACCGCGCCTCGAGCGCAAAAATTCCCTCAACGCCTCCGGCGTAAACATTGGTGCCGAAACCCGGGAAGTAGGGCTCAGTTGCCGGACTTCCCGAAAGCACGATCCATAAAAAATTCAGTCTAATATTATTCCTTTGTTCTAGTCTGTTTCCATGTTTTTCCTTTGCAGCTTCCCTATCTCTTAGGAAAACCAGACTAACCTTCTTTCCAGATTTCACAGGTCCCTAGAACCTGTTTCCGTGTTTTCTTGCAGGTTCCCTACCTCTAAGAAAAAAAAACCTAACCTACCTCCCATAACCCTCTCCAGATTCCCGCGGTCGTTTTGAAAAAGAAAAGATGAGCAGCAACGAAGATGAGGCCGCCGCGTCTCGAGCAGAACACAACCGGGCAGCTCAGCAATTTAAAACAAAGAGAAACCTTCTCGTTGAACAAGTCCGCGCTACCCGGGACGCCTTCAGGCTTTTGACAGACGAAACGGTCGAGCATCACAGAGCCAGGTGTGATAAACTCAAGATCCTACAGGCGAGATTCGAAGAATTTCAAGATCAAGCAATAGAGATGAACAGCCTCCTGTGCAGCAACAACCAGATAGAGCTATCGCAGGCACAGGCTGATTTCGACCGCATCCACAACGAAGCCGCAGCAGTTTTTCTATCCAAAGTTCTCAAAGCTACCCGAGAAACGACCTTCATGAACAACACCTCATTTTCCACCACCTTCATCAGGCTCCCCAAACTGGAACTGCCCAAGTTCAGTGGAGATCTGGGAAACTGGAGGACTTGGCACAATCTGTACAAAGCCTCCGTGCATACCAGCCCGTCCTTGCTAGGCGTGCAAAAGTTTCAGTACCTAATAGGTAGTCTGAAAGGTGATGCTCTCGCCCTGGTCACAGGACTTGACATCACCGCGGAAAACTATGAGGTCGCTTGGAAGCTCCTATGCGATCGTTACCATTCTGAACGTCGTCACGTCTTCTTCCACTTTCATGGGCTGCTGGACCTGCCGGACGTCAAACATTCAGAACAAATTCCCCCGCTCATAACCAAGATTAGAGAGCACTCTCAGGCTCTCCAAGCCCTAGGTCATGCTCCGGATACCTACGCCGGACTCCTGACGGCTCACATCATCAGGAAGCTGTCATACCGCTTGAGACAGCGACTCGAAGACTATAGAGGCGCCGACTCAACCTACCCCAAACTTGAAGAATTAATGGAATTCCTCGAAAAAGAGCGACGCGGCTCGGAGGACACCCTGTCCAACCGCAAGGAGACCAGGACACTGGTCACCTCCCAGCCCAAAAATGCTGGAGGAAAACCGTGGAAATCCAAGCCCAGTGGAGAAACTGTACTCACAGCAACCTCCACTCCCGAAGATGAACCAGACAAATCTTCATCCTCCCATCAAAAGGACCCGCAGTGTCCGCTATGCCTCACCACACACCGATTGCGGCTATGCCCTACCTTCCAGGCCAAAAGTGCGGCGGACAGACGCTCGTACATCGAAGCAAGCAACAGATGCTTCAACTGCCTTGGCCTGCACAAAGTCTCTCAATGCAGCAACACTGGAACTTGCTCCGAATGCGGTAGGAAGCACAACACCATGCTGCACGAAGAGAATCCTCCCACCAAGAAAGCTCTCACTGCATCGCTCGTTCACCCCCATAATGCCTCGTAGAGGGATTATAGAATGAAAAAATAATGGAGGCGACAAAGGTTATTTAGAAGGTACAAAAGCAGTCATGTATTGATACAGAGATTAGGTGAATAGCGATACAATAAGAATAAGCGATACAATAAGCTACATTCAGCTACATGGAGCTGCTGTTCTGGTGGTCCCTTGCCCTGCTACGGGAGCGGGCGATGAGGTGCTCTAGTTGGCGCCTTACCCAGGTGGGGAGGAGAGACCAAAAAAAGGCCGCCGGGGTTTGGGTAGAGGCGGTGGTCGTAGCGACTGAGGTCCTAGCTGGCTGGGTGGCAGTAGTCTGGGTGGCTACGTCTCTGGTCCTCCGGACCTCGATCATGTGGGTGATGTCTCCGAAACGTCTAGCTGGTTGGACGGCTGTTCTAGGCGGCAGGATGACAGTGCTGGCCTCTGATGGTGGGGTAGAGTCGTCCGACACGACGATGGGGGAGGGGCGAACCGCTCTCGTTGGTCGCGGCCTCGGAGGAGTGGGCGGGAGTGGGGAGAGGACCGAAGGCGTGCCGAGCGCGCTGCAGGTTTTGAGGAACCTACGCCATTCAGATGTCGTGAGCGCTGGAGAGAGAGGGGAGAGCAGGGGAGCGAAAGTCTTTCTTCGCACTGATGCGTGATGTTTCCGCTCGGGGCGGACGGGCGTGGCGGGTCGAGGCTTTTGCCCGGGGCGCTGTCTTGTGGCAGCTGGAGCCTGACGTGATCGGCTGTCCGTTAGGGTGGACGGTGGTGAGGCGCGAGACGTACGCTTAGGAAGTGCGTGAGGGACGCGTGCGGTTGACCGGGGGCTGAATGCCGCGGGGGGTGGTCCAGAAGGATTTCGCGTAAGCCGAAGGCTGGAGGATGGTCGCGTGGTGGAGGTGTTGGCTGCGGAGGTTCCCGAGTTCCTTGCGGACGCGTTGGGCAGCGGGCCTAACCGGCGGAAAACCGTGTTACCGGGCTTGGCGGAGGGTTGCGGCCGGCTCATCTGCGGGTGCTGCCGACTGGGGCCTCTGGACGTGATCTTGGCAGGCCGCGTTGGCTGCCTTGTTGTTGGAGATTTGTACAATTGCAGCCTGGCTTGCGCGGGTTGTGCTGACTGTCTCGCTTGGGGGGGGGGGGGGGGTGTGGATGTCTGCAGCTTGGCTGCTGCTCTAAGAAGGGCTGCTCCTGTGGATGAGGGCGGAGTCAGCGGCGTTGCCTCTATGATCAAAGGCTCATCGTCTGAGGAAGAAACGGATAATTGCGACATTCTAAAACAAAAGAAAAAAAAAGAGGAGGGACTTACAATAAGAAATGAGTTAAGATGCAAACAGTGCTTAATAAGGGTGTTGCGGGGTATTCAGGGTGTGATTGGTGATGCGGAGAAGTGCAGGAGTTGTTAGGATGCGGTTATTGGGAGGGGAAAGAGTTTCACGCTCGGTCTAGACAATTTCCCGTTCGTGGTGCTGATGGTGGCAGCCCTAGCAATTCCATCCTTCCCAGGGTGCGTTTCCAATATTCTACCTAGTTTCCATCTTAGAGGCGGAGTGTGTGGGTCATGTATCAGAACCAACTGGCCTTTTTCTAAGGACCGGGGCGACTTTGTCCACTTGTGGTGGGATGCCAGTGTTTGCAGGTACTCCAAATTCCATCGGCGCCAGATGGCTTGGCTCATCGCCTGGATTCTGTGCTATCTTTTGGCGGGTTGGCGGTCCTCTTCGTGATCCCGTTCGGGTACGTCCAGGAGGGGTCCTCTGGTCAAAAAATGCGCAGGAGTGAGCGGGAGGGGGTCCGACGGATCTGAAGATATGGCGGTAATAGGTCGCGAGTTCAGCATGGCTTCCACCTTTATCACCAGGGTGATCCAAGGTGACTTTGTGGATGTGCTTCTTCATCGACTTGACCGCCGCTTCCCATAGACCGCCAAAGTGAGGTGCGCCTGGAGGATTGAAGTGGAACGTGGTCCGTGGGAAGTCTGCCAGCCCTGTAGGTTGTGGAAGTGCATGGAGGTTCTCGTTGAGTTCCTTTACTATCCTCTTGAGTTCGTTATCGGCGCCAACATAGTTGGTGCCGCAGTCCGTGTACAGATCGGTAGGTGCCCCCCTTCGGTTGGAGAATCTGGATAGGGCGGCGAGAAATGAGTCCGTTGTAAGATCTTCCGCAACCTCTATGTGCACGGCCTTTGTTGCCATGCAGACGAATATGCAAGTGTATGCTTTGATTTTCTTGGAGTTCCTAAGGCTGTTGGGTCGCACCCAGAAGGGACCTGCATAATCTGAACTGGTTTTGGAAAATGGACGTGATGGGCGGACGCGTGCCTCTGGGAGATCGCCCATTTTTGGATTTGAGTTCCGAGGTGTGCAGCGGAAACAAGGGATGCACCGGCGGACTACACGACGAACGGTCTTTCTGGCAGTTATTATCCAGAATTTCTGCTGGAGTAGGCTTTGCAGGAGCTGGGGCCCAGCGTGAAGGTTCTGCAGGTGATAGGTTTCTACCAGAGTTTGGACTAGGGGGTGCCGTGGGGGTAACACCCATGGGTGTGCTTGGTCACCGGTGAGGTGTGATTGCGACAATCTTCCCCCGACCCGAATGAGGCCGTCTGCGTCTATGAAGGGGTTCAAGAACTTTAGCGAAGTGGTGTCTCCTTGGTTCTTTTTGAGGAGAAGAAGCTCTTTGTGGAAGGAGTCGGCTTGTATTTTGCGGACTACTATTTTTTCGGCTTTGGTCAGCTCCTCAGGGGTGAGCGGGCCGTGATGTTTCCTTGTGGCAAAGCGCAGAGCATAGGCTAGGACCCTGATGAGTTTATTCCAGTTAGAAAAGCGTTCAAAAACTGGTAGGTCGGGGTTGACCGGGCGTGTCATGAGTGTGCTTTTTTGCGTTTTTGACTCCGGAACTTCTTCTGCTGGCAGGGGTACTGGGAGGTCTGCCCAATGTTCTGCACTTTCTTTCAGCCAAGAGGGGCCGCTCCACCATATTTCGCAAGTGACCAGCTGGTCGGCGAGAAGGCCTCTGCTGCCTACGTCTGCGGCATTGTCCTCTGATTTTACATGGTGCCAGGTGGTGTCTGGCAGGTCTTCTTGCGCTTGGGCTACCCTGTTAGCGACNACTCATGCACTCGGGAATTAATTTCCTTGAAGATATTGAGAATGACATGCATGTAAAATTAGCGTTTCAGCATAGGCTGGGTCAAGCTCAGAATAATCTGAAACGTAAGGCGATAGATACGATTTTCAGGGGCAAGGGGTATAAAGCTGAAAAGAGGATGAAAGCTATTCACTCGAGGGTTGGTTGTCGGAGGAGGAAAACGTCTAAACAGAGCAGAGGGAAGAAGCAGAAGAAGAAGAAAGTGTCAAAGAAAAAAAAAGTTACAGTTCGGAAAAATAAAAAACAGCGTAAAACTAAAAAGAGTAAAAAACGTTTAAGTGAAAGTAAATTTGCTGATATTTTTGGATAGGTAATAGATTAATCATGTCATTCGTTCATTCCAGTAGTTGTGATTGTGCCAAGTCAGAATTAGACTTATTTTCTTTACCCCCGACCCAAACTCACATCGAGCATGGACAGTGGGTACAGTATAAACCAATCTCATCGTTGCAAGACAATACTCCGATTGAATTTGTCTTACCAGGCCAGGGTAGTGATTACTTAGATCTCTCTCATACTTTGTTGAATATCAAAGCTAAAATTGTCAAAAGCAGCGGCGAGGATACGGTAGCTGCTGATGATGCCTTGATAGGACCCGTTAACAACTGGATGCATTCATTGTTCAGTCAAGTTGTGTAATAGGCCAGACAGCGTATTAAATCAAAGCTGCCGCCAGTCGGGTTCCGTCCACTCTCCGCTCACCAGAGCAGCGCCTCTGGTGGAGGAGGAGTGGACGACGCCTGATTGGCCGTACAGTTAGTTAGCCGAAGACCGTTTCCCGATCTAGAGAACATGTAAGTTCTTCCCAGTTTTCACCCCTTTTGGGGTGATTGTTTAGCTTTTCCTTTCTTTCTCGGATGTGACGGAGTGCGCGGGGGTGGCCGGCGGGCCACTTCGAAACCCTTAAACCCGTGACTTCATCTTTTCTTATTTCCTTTTACCGTCCTCTCCGGTCGAGCCTCGGAGGCTCGATCCGGATGGCCTCCGAGGCTCGATCGGATTGTGATTCGTGCTGTTCTTTTTGTTGTATGGATCCCCGAGCCATTACAACTGGCGTCCCAACTAGTGGCTTCAAAGAGGATATCTTTGATATCCATCTTTAAGTGTTTCGAACCGAAACGAAAAACGTGGCGTGCGCGGGTACGCGTCCTCCACAATGTAATCTTGTACTCTCGTACCTAACTAATGGAAATGTTTGAAGTGCTCCTGTATTCGTTATTAGTGTTTCATAATCTATTCTATCTTATTCTGATTACGTTGTCATGTTTGATTATTGCTTGACTTTTTCCGCCCATTCTAATCCGATCCACGAGGTAGTGAAATAGTCCCGGTCCGTCGCCATTTTGGCGTTGTGCGTTGTATTACTCCGCGGACTACCATCTAGACCAGAGACAAGAGACCCTCCACTGGCCTCCTAGCGACAGGTGGAAAATATTACTTTCGGGGATTCAACAGTTACTTATGGACAATTATTAGGGAGCAACAGTCATCACCCTAATTTCGGCTGTTGACCTACCTACATGGTCGATGATGAGCTTCGGGTGACGTCATAAGTCAAACAAGTTCCCCAAACGTCGGCCATTTTCGGCTTGTTTGCAAAACAAAACTACCAACCTGTTGTTAAACATCAACCAGGGACGAGTTCTATAGGACGCCGTTCTGTTGTGAGCGGGTGATTGCAGCGCATTCTCGCGTAGGATCCTAGTCAACTCAGAGGATCCTTCCCCCCGAACCTCGACTCATCCATCGCCCGCTCCAAAAGTGAGGTTAAGCCGGAGATTGAAAAATAACACATAAGGCGGCTGAATTCTTGAAAAATAAGTATATTTTTGGCGTTTTTCGACCCCTTTCGACAAGGAAGGGCCCGCCGCATTTTAAAGCATGACGAAAAATTCGATTTTTCGCAGTTATACGCGATCCTACGGATTTTAATGAAGTCCAACAACTGATAACAGCAGTGAGTTGCGAGGATCCTACGCGCGATAGCAGCACTAGTACCTGCTCACGAATTTTTACATTGACTCTTACGGGAGTCCAGGGTCCTATAGAACTGGTCCCTGCATCAACCATGTAGGTAAGTCAACAGTAGAATGCTGAAGTCCCGAAAGTAAAAGTTTCCACAATGGCCAAGATACTAGTGGAGGGTCTCTTGTCTCTGATCTAGACACACCACGGCCACCATCCATCAGCACCAGCTTGCCACCAACGAACCTAACCTACAAACCACGGTAATCAGTAAACAGAGACGGTAACCCAACAAGTGTTATTATTATCAGTGATGATACAAATTTTCTATCCTGAAATTATGCGGACAATTTTTTTATCCTGTTATTCTGCGGACAATTTTTTTAACCTTCTAAATTATTGCTCAAAGGAAAATTTTTTTTTTCCTCTTCATAAATTCCTGATAATTTTCTAATGCCAACCTAGTGCTAACGGTTAACGTCTAAAGGTTACCATGTTCCTGCCATCACAATGATGTTTCCTGTTCTACATTATTTGGACGAGGTGAGGAAGCGGGTCACCACGGAGACCTCCTCGATCCCAACGTGGGTGGACAGCTGATAAAGGACTTGGCACTCACTCTCTCTCTTGTGGTTCCCTGACTACTCAAACTACCTGGATTACGGACCTATGTCTGATTCTAGCAACTTCTCACCTTATCTACACATCTCTAATTCGTCGCTTCTGCTTCTTTTCAGAACCTGTTCCTGTTTCTTCGTACCCGGAAAAGTAGTAATTGTGAGAAATCTACTCCCTTTCATTTAGAACTCTTTTTATTTGTATTTTGTTACATGATGTCGCAAAACTCTAGTCCTAGACGTACTCGCTACGGTGGAAATTTCCACCCTTCGGTTGAAAATGCTGTTAGTAGAGGAGGCTCTGGTAGAGCGAGGGGTAGAGGATCTCGTAGACCTAGAGGTAGAGGCATGAGGGGTAATTTGAATCAAAACCTTTCTGACAGTAGAGTTTCACTTCATTCTGATCACTCCACTAATTCATTTCGTTCTGTACCTGAGGCACCCCCAAGACCGCTATCACCAAATGTTTTTGTTAGAAGACCGCCTCACCAAATGTCACCGTCTCCTGTGATAGAAGTAATAACGGCAACCCACCCAGTCTCTAATCGCTTCCATACCGACCCTCCCTCTACTAACCAGCATCTGCGTAATCGTGATGATCTTAATTCTGGTATTGTCGTGCGTCCCGCGGATAATTATCTGCAAACTCAGATTGCAGACCAGCAAAGAATGATGCTGCAAATAACTGAACAGATGGCTCAGCTCCAGACCACTGTTACCCAGGCTTTTGAAGAAATTAAGAGCGAAGTTCCCTTATTGGTTCAAGAACAGCTTGATAGCAAAATGTCAGAACCAACAAACCCACCTAAGCCGTTCTCGGGCGCTGCGCTTGAGCAGTCTCCGCACCAAGAAAATTGTACAACTGTAGCACCATGTCATAGCGATTCCATTAAATTTAAAGACCTGCCAAATTTTAATGGAACGCTTGAGGGTATCCATCCAAAAGAATTTGTGAGTGAGCTTGATGCCTACTACAGTTTTTCACGCAAATCTGACCAAACCAAATTATTCGAAGTGGGGAGACTGTTCAGGGGCAGTGCGCGAGAGTGGTTTAAGGTCAACCAAAACCGAAATAAATTTACATCCTTTGAGGATTTTAAATCCGAGTTCCTCCAATTTTTTTGGGGACTTGAAATTCAGAGTTCTGTATTTGACACGTTTGTCTCATCAAATCAACCTGCCCCGACCTATGGCAATTTATCTAATTACTTCCTTTCTCGAGTGAGAAACATGCAGTACCTCGATGTTCCAGCACCTGAGCCTTATGTTATAGCACCTATTGTAAACCAGCTTCCTTATGATGTTTGTTCAGCAATAATGCTGGCTAAAGCTAGCACCATTGATGACGTGTTGAGAATTTTACGCGGCTTTGATCAGCTCGGCTCGCGGCAGAAACCAAGCGGCTCCGCAAGCCATCAATCGCCGAAATTTCAACAGCCCACCGGAAATAGTAGTACCTTTGCTCATAAAAATGTTAAAACTACAGAGTTTAATGTTGATAATGGTTCTCAGTCCTTCCGGTCAGAGCCTTTAAACTAGATGTGAGCTGTGATGGCAGTTTGGCAGACAACTCAGCTCCCACAAATTCTAATGTTTGCTTTGCCGACCCGGAAAACATTGGATCCTGCCAATATTTCTATATTTATCATTTGACTTTCTCCACCGTAAATTCTCAAAAATCTACCTTTGCCTTATTCTGTGCCCCATTTCAAATTTCACAACTCCCACCAGAATTAGTTTCAAAATTACCAAAAGTGTCACAGCTGCCTTCTGTCACTGCATCTGGTTTGGGGGCTCTGATGAGAAGGATTGAGACCATGCCTGAACCCCAAGAATTCCATTTCATTATTATTTGGCCTTCTGCCTACTGGATTTTTAAAGAACTGGGTCTTCCTTTGTCTCAAAATAAGTACGTTGATGCTCCAAGCCTCTCTGACAAGGCTCTTGCTAGAATATTTAATTCTTTGTTCTCGTCTTACCTACTTAAATTCGCTGAACTCAAACCTTTATTTTTGTGCCAATTTACTCATGATGGAACCCTGAATGTGCCTAACAATATCATAAATCAAGTCAATCAATATTTATTTTCCACACTTTGTTTCTCCAATTTTATATTTACATTGCCTACATCACTATGCACTGAGAAACAACATTTTCACCACAACAGTCTTTTGTGCCCATACGATTTTAAAACTGCTGCTGATGAATTTATGTCGTTGCTAGAAGCAAACGAACTTTTATCCAGCCGTACCCTGCTGTCGCATACTGTTCTCAAGGACGAGGATCACTTCCTCCTCTATGAGGAACCCACCTTTGATAAACCTAAGAAAGCTACTTCTCCTTTCATTCAATGCTTAATAAACGGGTATCAATGTCTTGCCCTTGCAGATACAGGAAGTGAAATTACATTAATGAGTAAGGTATTTTTCGACCTAGTATCAGAAGCAACTGATGCTGACCTTCCAGTACTTCCTGTTACTAATTTGTGCATTAAAGGTGTTACAGGTATTAAATCCACAAAAGTAACAAAACAAACTCTCCTTGACATCAGTATCGGTGGCAAAGTATTTCGCTTTCCGGCTCTAATCATACCTAATATTAATTCGAACTTCATCCTAGGCATTGATTTTTTTCAAAAATTTGGTGCAAAATTGGATATGCAGGCTGACTCTCTTGAGCTGCTTGACGGCACCGTGAAAGTACCTTTTGATAATTTTAATAAAAAACGAATGGAGTCTTCGCCTTGTGAGATTGTAGGTCCTGCAGTTCATAACTGCTATATCCTGAACAAGAAAGTTGTTATCATTGCTGATAGTCATGGTAGAGAATTGTACAACCATCTCCGAGCATTGTTGCCAAGCTCAATCGACCTCCAAATTTTTGTCAATCCTGGAGATCCATTCAATACAGTCATTCACAATATAACATCAAAAAATCTTCAATTCAATGAAGATGATACATTAATTGTCATGGCTGGCTCCAATAATTTATCAGAAAGTAAAACAATAGCAGAAATAAAAAATGAGTTTGATGTAACCCCTCTTACTGCTCTAGAAAATCCAATTATTATTTGTGAAATATTCCAACGTAGAGATTTTAAGAATAACCGGGATATTTGCTCACCTATAAATCTCCATCTCAGAAAGGAACTTACAAAACATTCTAATATTAAGTTTTTAAAATCATCTGACTATATCCATAAGCAGCATTTTACAAAACGTGGACTGCACCTAAACGAGACAGGAAAACACGTCCTGTCATATGAACTCTCTCGACTGATTCGGGATACTCAGATCACTCGAAAACAAGCAAACCAACTCCAGGTAACTGTACGCCGAATTACTGTCATTGATTCTTTTGAGGCCGTACAAATCGGCAGACACCGGCTCCAGGTTTCTTGATGCAAGGACGGGAATCGTTGGTGCAGAGTGTCTGCCAATTTGCATGGTCTTGCTTTCTTGGCCATCTTGGATCAGGCAAGGTACACAATTGTCTCAAGGAACGTGTCATTTTTCCAAAAATGAAACAAAAAATCAGAAATTTTGTCAGAGTCTGTCTCGACTGCCAACAAAGCGGGACCATGCAAATTGGCAGACACTCTGTACCAGTGATTCCCGTCCTTGCATCGGGAAACTTGGAGCTGGTGTCTGTTGATTTGTACGGCCCGCTCCCAAAATCCTTTGGAAATTTTACCCATGTTATGGTATGCCTTGACATATTCTCCAAATATGTCAGACTGATCCCACTACGCAACGCAACTGCTGTTGTTGCCACGCGCCAGTTTATAACAAAATTTGTTGAAGTAGAAGGCACACCAGAGAAAGTTATAAGTGACCATGGCCCGTGCTTTCGCTCGCACTATTGGGATGCAAGACTCAAAGAACTCAACATTCAACCTGGCCACACCAGTGTTTACCATCCACAATCTAACCCAGTCGAGCGATATATGCGAACCTTAGGGGCATTTATCCGTATTTACTGCCATGAAAGTCACAGAAATTGGATCAAATATCTGAGCTTCTTTGAGTCTTGTTTCAACTCTAGTGTGAGCGGAAGCACAGGTTTCACGCCGATTGAGGTGATGAAAAATTTGTCCCCTCGAAATATCCTAGAACAATTTGTCCGATTTCCTCCATGTGAAAGCACCTTGACCCAAACCGAAAAATTTCTCATGGTTCAAGAAAATTTAACTAAGAGCGCGGAGAGGAGACAACGCGCCAAGGGCAAACCTGAAACCGATCATCCTTTCAAAGTTGGTAGTAAAGTTCTGGTAAAATCGCACCATCTGTCAAATGCCTTGTACGGTGAAGTCAAGAAATTCTTTAGACTCTATGAAGGCCCCTTTGTAATCTCGCGGTTGGTCGGAAACAAGGCTTTTGAGTTAACTGACCCGGTAACAAACACCTGTAAAGGTGTATACAATCTTGACCACCTCCGCCTTCTCTGCGAATAAATCTCAATCGGCGTCCATCCTATAGTATGGTGTAAACGCATACTTTAAAAAACTGACAACCAGTCCTTTTTTTTTTTTACTTTTCCGTTGGGGAGGGGGTTGGTTAAATTTGTTAGCAATTTGTTACCCCTACCCAACGTGACTATTTTCTATGTGTTTAAGTGTTTTTCCTATTGCCTTAGTACCTAGATTTAGTTTTAGCTAGTTTCTCAGGACTCTTCAAATATTTCCCTTTAATTTGTCTTCAAAATTTCACTCTTTGCCAAACCTAAAAAATCCCGCGATTACACAGCTGTGCACTCGATTTTCCCAAGAAGGTGTTGATTCCTCGTCCTTTATGTAATCTTTACAGGGTGATCACCATCAATTCATTGATATCGCAGGAATCCATAGTGTATCCGCATTTGGGAATGTGGAACACTGTGCATCGAACACTCCTTGTAATCTGCTTTGTTTTTTATTTTTTATGACCGAAAAAACAGTGCAACGTTCAGTTGTCACTGTCAGAGTAAGTTAGTAAACATTTTGGTAAAACAGACCAGCTTCCCGTCTGTATCTTTTTGTTTTATTTTTTTTCAATTTCGGAGTTAAGCACCTGTTTTCCTCATATATGCTGTAGGGACAGCAGCGAGGCTTGTGCAGCCTTGTGCCTGGCCAACACAAGTGTCAAATAACTCAGTCCCCACTCGCAAACCCAATTCGGGCCTTTTCCCTGGGAAACTTGAGTGCATGGCTGTACCTATTAACTACAACAGTGTGTAAACTACCCTTCTTTGAAATTTTCTTTATGTGACCCATTGCGCCAACGCACACTCCGTCCCATTAAAATTGTATTTTTTCTATGTCATTGAATACTTCGTATATTTTGTCATTTAGTATTAGTATTTTTGATACCAGTCTTTATTACTGTTACCTCTCTTTGCCTTATCTGCCAAAGGCCAGATTTTAAATTTGTTCATGTACTTGTTTCTTTTTTACTTGAATACAGGCCAAAAAACCGAAAAGATTATAGGTTTTCGCTGGTCACGTCCCGTCACTCGCTCGTCACAACTTTCCAAAGTTGCCAAATTTTTTTTTCTTGTCTTGTTTTGTCCAGCAACAAAGTAATTTTCCCTCTCGTTTCCTAGCGTTCCAGTCTGTCTGTCCTTTTCCGTTGGGGACACAACTGTTCCTGCCTCCAAGTTCCTTGGAAACATGAGCAGCCGTGGGGTTGTTGTAATAGGCCAGACAGCGTATTAAATCAAATCTGCCGCCAGTCGGGTTCCGTCCACTCTCCGCTCACCAGAGCAGCGCCTCTGGTGGAGGGGGAGTGGACGACGCCTGATTGGCCGTACAGTTAGTTAGCCGAAGACCGTTTCCCGATCTAGAGAACATGTAAGTTCTTCCCAGTTTTCACCCCTTTTGGGGTGATTGTTTAGCTTTTCCTTTCTTTCTCGGATGTGACGGAGTGCGCGGGGGTGGCCGGCGGGCCACTTCGAAACCCTTAAACCCGTGACTTCATCTTTTCTTATTTCCTTTTACCGTCCTCTCCGGTCGAGCCTCGGAGGCTCGATCCGGATGGCCTCCGAGGCCCGATCGGATTGTGATTCGTGCTGTTCTTTTTGTTGTATGGATCCCCGAGCCATTACAGTTGATGTGTACTTAAATCAAAAAATAGTATCATCAGCAAGTTACGCGTATCCTTACAGGGCCTATCTTGAAAACTTATTAAGCTACGGGCCTGGTGCAAAAAATTCTCACTTAACGAGTATTTTATGGTATAAGGATCTAGCAGGAAATATGGAGGTGGAAGGGAATTCAGGGTTAACAAAAAGGCGGGGGTTCTGTCAGCGTAGCAAAACTGTAGAAATGATGGGCCGTATTCATTGCGATATTTTCTCTCAGGATAAAATGTTATTAAATAATGTTGATTTGAAATTAAGGTTTGTAAGGTCCAGAGATGATTTTTGTTTGCTGGGTCAGGATGGATACAAGGTTAAAGTTATCGAGGCAAATTTATTTGCTCGAAGGGTCAGAGTCTCTCCTAGTGTCCTTTTAAGTCACGCTCAGGGACTTGAAAAAACGAATGCCAAATACCCGATAACCAGGGCTGACGTTAAAACCAACACCATCCCTGCTGGTGTTCGAAGTGCATCCCTGGATAATGTAGTCAGCGGCCAACTTCCCACTCGTATTATTATGGGTATGGTGCTAAACACAGCTTTTAACGGGGGTATTGAAAAGAATCCTTTTAATTTCCAAACGTTCAATCTTAATTATGCTTCCTTCCATACCGACGGCCAACAAATTCCAGGTGTCGTTTTAACACCAAATTTTGACGCTCACGAATATGTCCGAACTTTTCACTCTCTTTTCTCTGGCACTGGGATACATTATTCAGACTCTGGCAACGAGATAAACAGAGAGGAATTTAAGGCAGGATACAGCCTGATCGCTTTAGACTTCACCCCTGATTTAGAGGCTCATATTAAGACTCATTGGAGTTTGGTGCGCCACGGTAGTTTGAGGATAGAACTAAGGTTCAGTGATGCCCTAGCAGAAGCAACAACAGTCATAACCTATGCAGAATTTGATAATGTCATAGAAATAGATAAAAGTCGCAACGTTATTACCGACTATAGTGCCTAAATTTTGTACAAGAAAATGAACTCTCTCGAGGTTTCAACAGCTCTCCAATCGTTACCTATTAATACTTTGGTTTGTGCTGCTAATACAGGGTGTCTCACGAAAAACGAGCCACCTTGAATATCTGCCGAACGCGTCGGAATTTCGAAAAACGGTAAAAGACGTGTTCGTTTATATCGAGGGGGACACCTTTTGGCGTGTTCGACATTTTCCCAAACCGCGGGTGGGGCGCGGGGCGGGGGGTGCCCCACCCGTAAGTCGAACTTTTCAAATGGCACCCCTATTTTTTTATTTCAGAAATCAATTTTATGCAAAAAAACAAGCCACCCTGTCCAAACCGAATGTAAATCGGACCATTTTTCAGTGATTGACAGAGTTTGAAACATTTTTTTCATGCTCTTTTCAAAAATTTCCCACGCCCAATGGAATTGCTGTATCAAACCAAACTCTCCGCCAAAAAAATTCTTAAACATTGCACTTTCGATAAAAAAATAAAAAAAAATCTGCTGCACTCGAAATCTGGAGCACGCGGAGCCCTTCTTTGCGACATTAAAATTCGTTATACCGAACATTTCCGAGGGGTGCTCATCGGGAGGGAGTAATAAGTTTTAGACAATAATTATTAATCTTTTTTCTGAAGCATAATAAACCGTGTCCATGAAGAAGCAGTTAAGTAGAAAAACAAATGGATTAGCTTTTTTTTTGGGGGGGTGGGGGGGTCAATGACTTGAGCCGGACCTTGATACTTCTGAGGACGCTATTTTTCCGCGGTGCGTTGTTTTTCTACTTAACTGCTTCTTCATGGATACGGTTTCTTACAGTCACAATTTCCTACAGTCATCAAATTCCTCAAACACAGCTCGGTGGAAAATGGGATCGACTTCACTGTTGGTGAGTTCCAGCAACTTGTACTGAATTCTGGGGAGGTTGGTCAATATCTCCGTGGTTCAGAAGATACTCGTCCGGATATCGTCCTGTCTGAGAGGAGAACCCTGGAGTTCAAGCTGCTCTACAAATCCAAATCCGTGGTCCTCACGGAGTCCGTTCCAGAGCCTGGCTACTACGCCCGGCAAATCGTCTTCCAAGAAGCCAGCTGGCTGTACCTACTATCGCTGTTTCCGGCCATCCTTGCTACGGTGGACAAATGCACGAACAACGGACAACATTTGGTGAGAGTGTTTGAAAACATTTGCAAGAATCTGATATCCGAATGTCAATATTTTGATGAAGAAACTGTAGTTTACATGTTGAAGACTTTAAAACCGACAACATTTGAAGATGGGGTGTTCTCTCCATCAGATTTTTTAATTGTATTTAACGAGTTAAAACAAGCTTGTCGCAAATTAATAGTAAATGTAATTCTCAAAGATAAATCTGGTTTCTTTTTTCATAAAAATTAAACGTAAGAAATCAATAGATCACACTTTTTATACTCATTATTTAAACATTTTTTAAAATTTTATTTGCTTATTAATATCTATATTATGTTTAAGTTGTAGAATGTAAGGCCCTCTCCATTGAGGATCGGCCAGGATTTTTGAGAAAACGGGCTCAGAAGCTTCTGACAAGAACATTTTATTAAAAGAAGCCTCCAAAAAGATTGTCATCGTAAACATCAAACCACATTCTTATTCTTTACAAACCCAACCGTATCATTATTTTCCCTGATCAATATTAAATTTTCAAGTGAGGAAGAGAATTTAACTTGTGCACCGGATTAATTTTACTTTAACTTTACTCTTTTCAAAAGAAAACGAATAAAATTGATCTTTTATTCCTTAAAATTCATCCGGTTCTAACTGTTTTATCACTCTCCATCACTTCGAAAATCTTTCAAATCTCCATATACACCATAAAAAAAATTAGTTTAAATGAATTGGTTACTAATATATTTACCAACCATTCATCAATATTTTCCTTTTTTCTTATTTCAAAATTTAAGCAGCTGAACTGCTTCCATCATTTATTTTTTTTGTTTACCGTGGTTACTCTGGAATCAAACTTCTAGAGATAATGAACCCACAAAAGATTAAATTGAACAATTATTTTAAAAATTACCTATATAGAAGTTTTATGAATCATTCTATTGTGTCACGGACAAGGGGAGTAAGCGCATTCTAGGATGAACCTCGGAACACATAAAATCATGTGCCAACCATGGTTCCTTACAAAATACACTTACTGTTCTCTTTCATAACACGGTAGCATTATCTACCCTATGCTGGCTGATAGGCATGCAGCGAGCAGGGTGTAATTAACGAAAAATCGCTCAGGGTAATTAACACAGGATAATCGATTGATCGCCAACCAATTCATCGATCCTTCGATTATTAAAGTCTCATCGATTAATGGTCATGGTTATAGATTGACATCGATCGATCGATCAATTTTGTAAGACTATCGATTAATTACCCATCTCCGTATCGGTACCTATAACACCGCTGCAAGATGTCATTAGTATTTTGCAGTCCACTACACAATGTTGAAGATGTACTTTAAATGCTTGATTCTGAACCGCCAATTTAACTATTGACGGGGCAATATACTTTCCAAACAGACCTTTTAAAATACACCAAGTCCGCAAGGCATTCACGCGCTACCCTTCGAACTTAGGTTCGAAATTTCATACCAGTTTTTGAATTTATTTATTTATATATTTATTCTTAATTCTTTGCAGCATCAGGCAGGGAGTCAGGTTACTCGATACCACCAAACTCAGGTTAGGTACCCGACAACGTTGTAAATCGTTCCACTTAGGTGAGTGCGAGGATCGATAGTTAGGTGCATTTCGATGGGTCAAAGTCCGTTATTTGGTTCCTCGACCACCACCGCACCTAAGTTAGGGCACTCGACACCACAACATTTGGGTTTGGTACTTCTCGGAGATCGATGCTTGGGTCCAAATCGATAGCTCGAAGATTTGTAATGGATAAAGCAAAGATCGATTTTATCGAAATGAAAAATCTTGTAAAAACTGCTCTAAGTCCCATTGTCATACTTCTTTCTTAGTCCGTAAATATTCTATTGCAGTACTTACCGCTTCTGTATTTATCGCGTCCAACTGCGTTTTTATGATTGTCATATTTTTCTCCATGGCCGCCTTCTCTTTTTCAAGTGCGCGGATTTCCATTGTCATATTTCTCTCCACGGCAGCCTTCTCTTTTTCAAGTGCGCGGATTTCCATTGTCATATTTCTCTCCACGGCAGTTTTCTCTTCTTGAAGTGCGAGGATTTTCTTATTATTTTCAACAAGCAATTCCTCCATCCTTTTTTGGCAATCCGCATTTGTCTGCATGGCATTATGGAGTAAATCATGTATAGTTATTTTCGAGGTGTCACTCTGTGAAGAAATGAAAAAATTAAATGATTAACAACGATAAAACACAAAGATATCAAAACGACAACTAGATCGCTAAAGGATTAGGGACATATGCCAAAGGAACAAAGGAGTGTGAAAGAGAATTTGAGGCATCCATACTAAATTCACTTTTTCTGGAATTAGTATGAAAATGCATTTCCAGTCTGCTCGTTAGTAGTTTCAAAATGGGAATTTGACCCCAGTAGTATGAAAATGATGACTTTAGCGCAGTAAATTATCCAACAGCGTTGCACGATGGTACAGAAAAATACGAATTGAATTATAGTGTTGTACGGCGAGTATTATTCAATATGGCAAAGCTGTAAAAAAGAGAGGATTATATGTTGCCCCTGCAATATGCCACGTTATGCAATGGTGTAATTTAGCCCCTTCAATCTACGGTTTATGCAATGGTGTATTCTTCAAGATTGCGGTTATGCAACAGCGTTGCCGGACGGTGCACTTAAATAAATGAATTAATTATGGGTGAAATTTTGCAACATCGAATTTTACAGTGTTGCCAGATGGTTCAAGAAATTAGTTAATTTTTCGATACAATGTTGTCAGATTGTGCAAAAAAATTCGGATTTTCGGACTTGTAAAAAATTTTGGCTTTGAAAGACCGTCTCCTCCAGTATGGGTCTGGTATCGGAGACTGGAGAGTAGGGTCTGATTCGGGAAATTAAAACATTTTTCGGAAAATTACCCTCCTCCGATCCGCCGCGGACGGATGCAATTCTTTTACACTATCGAAGATCGGAAAACTGTACGGACCGAATTTTGATACGACTTTTCGTTTTCGAGATTTCGGACTTGTAAAATTTTGGCGGCATCCACGATAAACCACATCTTACAGGATGGGCCTGGTATCGGAATCTGGAGAGTAGGGTCTAATATGGGAAATTAAAAATTGTCTAAGTCCCGCGCTGGAAAATATTTTCGGAAAATTTCCCTCCTCCAATCCGCCCCGGTCCGATGCGATTCTTTTACACTATGGAAGATCGGAAAACTGTACAGACTGAATTTTGATACGACTTTTCGTTTTCGAGAAAATCCCACTCTTACCTAAGTCGCATGCATATCTTACGTGTATATACGAGTTTTTATGCTTGTTCGAATAAATGGGATTCTTGACTTTTGCTATTGACAGGTTGTATGTCTGATGGCAAAAACACATCTATGACACATACCTATCTTATCTGTATACGCGGTATTGTTCCTTACATTGTTTTCAGATTGTGCAAAATATTCGGATTTTAGGACTTGTAAAATTTTTCGGGATCAATACCTAGACCATAACCTCCAGGATGAGACTGGTATCGGAGACTGGAGAGGAGGGTCTGATTAGGGAAATTAAAAAAAATTTCGGAAAATTCCCTTCCTACAATCCGCTACGGACCGATGCGATTCTTTTACACTATGGAAGATCGGAAAACTGTACAGACCGAATTTTAATACGACTATTCGTTTTCGAGAAAATTCGACTTTTACCTAGGTCGCATGCGTATTGTGATGACCCTGATTTGGGGTCGAAGGGGGACGTAGCTGGAGCTTTCGCGATATCAGCCGACGGGACGTCTCTAAAGAGAGATATCTCGAGCTGACGTCACGGAGCTCCAGGGGGGGCTGTTGCGTCGGACAGTGGTCGCCCGTGGTCTCTCTATGGAGAGAGATCTCGTGCAGACCACCTACACAACACAACAGTGGGTGCTCTTCGGGGGGCAGTCGTTGACCTCCCAAAAGACGAAAGACGTAGTCAATAAAGAGAGAAAGGGTCTGTCTTTGACTGAATTTCGGTATATTGTTTGAGTTGGCTATTCTATCAGATGAGAGGGCTCGACAAGACACAGAAAGGAATAGCAAAAAGGGGGGAAAAAGACTCAAAAAATATGGACGGTGTTGAGAACGAACCGGAGTCGTTCGGCTGACGTGTCGGCTCGTCAATGACGCGCATGTGCAGGCCGGAGCCCTGAGCACATGCACAAGACGACCGTGTTGCGAAGACTGGCTTTCAGTGATGCCAGGCGTACGGATTTATCCGTGCCGCGCGGACATTCCCTATACCGACACGGACCGCGTACGGACAAAAACCTTATGGGATAAACGTTTCCCTATCTTAAAATATCCGTACGCGTGACGTCACAGAATGACGCTCAGCCAATAGTAGCACGGAGAGCGGTAGAGCGCACGGATCTCGTACACGGAGCACCCGGGAACACTGCTGGCTTTCCTCGAGCGTCGGAGCAAGTCGCCCAGCTCCCTACGCTCGGGTCGGCCGGCGGCGTGCATGCGCATTTCCCAGCGGACATCAGCATTTTTCCTGAAGTCGGTGCTCCTCCTGACGTTGCCAATTTCCCCCCGTAATGATGAATTGTCTGGGAAAATTGGGCGCCCCCTCACATTCCCTCCTCCCGGGCAAAATATAATCTTGCAAAGATTATATTTTCACCGAAATAAAAGAATGAGAGAATTTGGGTGCGCTACTAAAGAGAAAAATGTCTGGTTCCAGTGCAAAATCCGCGTGCCGATGTCAGGCAACCGCGCTCTGCTTCTATGAATGGAAAAAATCGTATGTGTAGACTCGTCCGAATCGCTCCTGATATTTTACCGTGAGAAAAAGAAAAACAAAGAGTAGAAGATGCATGTTAGATGTCACAATTCAATGACTGTATGGCTGTAGAGAAATTAGGAAGAATTAAGGAGCAAAACCTAAGTAAGATATTTTGAAAGAGGAAAGAAAGAGAGAGAGAGAAAGGAAAAACAAGAGAAAAGAAAGGAAAAAGGAGATGTAATAGAGATCTTGTCGAGCAATTTTCTTAAACTAAAATGAAAGTACACATTTTTACTTTTTAACTTACATGCTATGTTTTAACATTAATTGTACATGGTATTTTTGCGAAAGGAATGAAAATTAACTTGAAGCTTTGTAGGTTTTAAAACTTAACTTAGAACATTGTAAAAACTGTAACTGTATTTTGTAGAACTTGTGACTCACGGAACTTTCAAAACATCAATTAATAAAAATTTGAATTTTTAATTCAAAGAACAAACTATTTCAATACGACACATTATCCCAATGATTTTGATTTTAATGCGCTAAACTTAGAACTTAATAGTTTAATATTAATATTTTGCTATTTTTACACTACTGGAACGAAAAATAATTGGTTACTCATAATCGCGCGAAGGCACAAATAAACTTTTAATTATAGGAATTACTCAACCTATCGCAGATGCAGTAAAATTAATTACTAAGGGAATAAACATAAATGAAAATTCAAACTTTAATATCGTATGGTACGTTCTATGAGGGCGATTTTCGAACGAAAATTTAGGGGGAGGTTTTTTATCGGTTATTACAGAATTTATTAATTTACATTATTTTACCAAATAAACTGTTAATCATAGGAATCACTGAACCTATCGCATGTGCAGTAAATTTAATTACTAAAAGGATAAACGTAAGTGATAATTCAAACTTTAATATCGGGGAAGGTTTTTCAATACAAACAATCTAGTTTGACGGTATGATTTTCCATTTTCCTGCAGATAACATACATTTTCGAGGTCTTTGCCGTGGCCAAAAAATTTAAATGTTTAGGTGGATAAGAGTAGGTGAGGAGGGGGGGGGGGGTTGACAGAAAGAAGTTGAGAGATATAAAAAAAAAATTCAGCACATTATTTGTTGATACCTGACCTTTTGGGAGTGTCACGGGTACTCTCCGTTTTGTTTATGTTGTTCCAGCCTCTTCCGTTGTCTTTGCCTCTTCCGTTGTTTCGCTTTCTGTCCTTGGCCTGTCTTCTTCCTCCGCTGTCTGCGCTTCCTCACTTCTCCTTCCGGGTTTTCAACAGTGCCCGCTTTGTCCTCCTGTGACGTGGATGCTGTGCCCTCTCTCCTTGCCCATATGTTTTCCAAAAATGACATCGGTTACTGCCGTCATTTCTTAGCAGACTTGCTGACGCTGCATGTTGTTTGTTATGTTTCTATCTTGGCGTGTATTTTTTGAGCCGGTCGGCCTGCACTATGGCAAATTTATCTTTTCCTCGTTTTCCCGTATCGATCCTGTACCTGCTTGGGGAGATCTGTTCGACTATTCTAAACGGTCCGCTGTATTTTATTCTGAGTTTGTGGCAAACGTTAGGATTTGGGTTTGGGAGGTGCATCAGAACATAGTCACCAACCTTGAAAGGAGGTTGAATTCTGGATTTGTTGCTATAATTTCGTTGCTTTTCTTGAATGTCTGGTAAATTCTTGATGGTTTCTTCACGAATCTCCTCTAGCCTTCTTAATCGCTGTACTAGCTCCATATCTTCGCAGTTTGGTCTTAATTTTGCGTCCAGTGGTAGCCTAAATTCCTGGCCTGTGAGCAGAAAATACGGACTTGATTTTGTAGACAAGTGTGTACTAGAATTATGAGCCGCCATGATTGATGGGATGAATTTTGGCCAGTCCGCATGGTTTTCTCCCGCAAAACACCTTAGATAAGAACCTACTGTTTTCCACACGTTTTCTATTTGACCATTCGCCCGCGGTCAGTATGTGTCCACATAAGTCTTTTTGACCCCGTGTTGGTCTAGAAATGCTTTTGTCAGTTCTGAGGCAAAATTTGATCCGTTATCCATTACGATCTCGACTGGAATCCCGAAGATTCCGAAAAACTCCGTTAAGAGTGCTTCTAAAGATTCTGACGTCAAATCCTTTACGCTTTTTAGCCATAGGAATTTTGTTAAATAATCGCAAATACCAATTATATATTTCTTCTTGTTCTTTTCCTGATTATTTGCTGTCGGTAGGGGACCAAACGCGTCAATGCCAATCTTTGCCATTGCGCTGGCGATGCTGATGTCATGACTTTTTATGATGCCGTATTTCTCGTGGTTTTGAAGCTTCTTTGCAAATTGACAGATTTGGCAAGAAAGCACGTATTTCCTTATTTGTGAGTGCATACCTTTCCAGTAGAATCTTTTTAGTGCCCGTTGTTAACTCTTATAGGTTCCCTGGTGGCCTGAAAAGGGGGAGCTATGCACTTCAGCTATAGTACTGTCTACCGTGTGGCTTGGTATTAGTAGCAGTTTTCTAGTATCGTGCGATTTCTTCCATAGTACGCCGTCCTGTGTGTAGTATTGCTGGGCTTCTTTTACGGTCTATTATTTGACTTATTTGGATGTTTGATTGCCGTATAGATGGCGTTTAGTTTATGGTCTTTTTTCTGTTCTGTCTTCATATCCACTTTGGCGTTAATATCAAAATATGCCGTGGTCTTTGCGGTATCTGACCTGTCTTTTTCAGGTTTCTTCGCTTTTCCAGCGCTTGTTTTGCTTCTATCTTCGCTGATTCGGACTTCTTCTGATGGGATTGGTTCTTGCGCTGTAGGGTCTCCTGGCTGGTACCTTGCTCTGTCCGGTATTTTTATGGAATTCTTCTTCCTCTCTTGGAAATTGCTGTTTATTTCTAGCATGTTCAAAAGCAACGGTGGATATCTAGACAGATAGTCTGGCATGACGTTTTTCGAACCTTTTTTCCATTGTATCTATAACGGAATATTGAAGCGCCGCGTCTTGAAAGCATTGGACAGGCATCGCTCCCGGAAAATCAGTCGAGCCACGAGGTTTTTCATGATGCAGCAGAGAGGTTTCCGGTGGACACTCGCTTGGTGACATCGCCAGACACGGCCGTTGTCAGATAGCCCGAGGAATCTCTCTATTTCGTACATCTCTACCTCGGGCGTCGGGCTCCGAAACCCACGAAACGGCGACAGCCAGTCCTCTTTCCTGGATTTCGGAGCCTACGACGGATGTTACATGCAAAGTCAGGAGGTTTTTGGCGAGCGAACCGTGGGAAATGACGCTAAGTTCGCAAGCCTAGGGACCCACGAGGACCCCGCTGAAGCCTCCTGTAGTTAGTCGCGTTTGCCTCCTTGCCCGTGTGCTCCACCCGGAAACCTCGGCCTTGTCGTATCCTGCGCCCTTTCCGTGGTGCCTTCCCTGTTGAGTAGCCCGAATGCGGTACGTCCCCCGGTCCCTACCGGCAGCGAAGTGACCCCTAGTTGTTAGAGTTGTTCTGTGTGAGTTTGTTTACTGTGTGTACCTGTGTGGTTTTGTAAGATCGAGTTTTAGTAGTTGTAGCCTGTGTGGCACTTGTTATTATTATACCGTTGTATATTACATCCCAATACAAGAGTGGCCATCCCCTAGTTTATGTGTTTCTCCTTTCCCTAGGATACTAGGATACATTCTCGAGGTAGGTGACCATTCATATTGAGTGAAAGGGCTCTTACACCCCCCTAGATCTACCCCCCTTCTCTAGATTTACCCTTTCTGGTGGACGCCCCCATCTGCGACCCCGCTACGTGTTCAGCTGCTTGGCTCGAGAGCTGAGCCCGTTATAAGTGGTAGAGGGTAGCCGGGTAATAACACTATACTCCCTGGAGTGTGTGCCTTGTTACCTTTCGCAGCCAAGCAATTTTTTTTTTTTTGAGTGTCAAAATTTTAGAAATTTTTTATGTTTTATTTTTTTTTTTTTTTAATTAATTGAAATTTTTTGTTACATTTAACTCGTGTTTGGGGTTATATTTTAAGTTTACTTCTTCAAATTTTAAAAATTGAAAATTTTCCGATAAATTTAGTCATACTTTGCTCAAATTTTTTTTTCTCAACAAAAAGCTCTACCCCAAAATTTACTTAAAAAAACTACGGCCATAAGGCCATAGAAGTAGGGAGAAAATGGGAATCTTAGCGCAGTAAATTATCCAACAGCGTTGCATGATTGTGCAGAAAAATATGAATAAAATTACAGCGTTGTATAAGGATTATTGTTCAATATGGCAACGCTGTAAAAAGAAAGTATTGCATGTTGCCCCTACAATATGCGGGTTATGCAATCGTGTAATGTAGCCCCTTCATTTTGCGGGTTATATAATGGTGTATTTTTCAAGATAGCGCTGCAGCGTTGCCGAACGGGGCACGTAAATAATTGATTTATTTATTGGTGAAATTTTGCAACATCGCATTTTACAGTGTTGCCAGATGGGGCGAGAAATTAGTTGATTTTTTCGATACAATGTTGCCAGATTGTGCAAAAAAATTCGGATTTTCGGACTTGTAAAATTTTTCAGTTTCAAGAGACCGTATCTTACCATATGGGTCGGTATCAGATACTGTAGATTAGGGTCTGATTCGGTAAAATTGAAAATTTTTCGGAAAATCACCCTCGTCCGATCCGCCGCGGATCGATTCGATTCTTTTCCATTATCGAAGATCGGAAAACTGTACGGATCGAATTTCGATACGAGTTTCGGTTTTCGAGATTTCGGACTTGTAAAATTTTCGGCTTCGAAAGACCGTATCTTACAGTATGGGCCTGGTATCGGAGACTGGAGATTAGGGTCTGATTCGGGAATTTCAAATTTTGTACTAGTGTGCGCTTGGAATGGATATTGCAATGTTCAACAGTTTGACGAATCAAAAATTTTTATTGGATATTTACAGTTACAGTTACAGTTTCAAACAGTTCGCGTTTACAAAACGCAAACACGTTTCGAAAACGCAAACACGTTTAGAAAACGCAAACACGTTTCGAAAACGCAAACACGTTTCGAAAACGCAAACGCGTTTAGAAAACGCAAACACGTTTAGAAAACGCAAACACGTTTAGAAAACGCAAACGCGTTTTGAAAACGTACGCGTTGCATATTATTTATACGAAATCCTTACTATCGATCCAACTGTTGCGACTCGCGTCCAGACCCAACCATTTGACAAAGACCTGGTTTTTCTTGCGACGCAGAATTTTCTCCACCAGGAACGTATCTTTATAGTTGGTGGGTTGGAGTTCTTCGCGGTAGAATTTTCCTTTGATGATCGTATCGTGTGCGTCTTTCAGATCGTACGTGATCGGAACGGTGGGATTGACGCTGACAATCTTGAAAATTTCCGTGCTCCAATTCGGTGTGTATCCTTTCTCGAACATGGCTTTGAGTCTCGAGATCCGGACGTGATCACCGACATTCAGTTTTCGTCTGGCCAGACGTCTCTTTTCA